TTCCTTCCTTCCTTCTTTATCTTTCTTTCTGTCTTTCAGTCTTTTTTTTTGGTCCCACTATCATCCAGTCTGGTGTGCAGTGGTGCCATCATGGCTCACTACAACCTCTACCTCCCTGGCTCAATCTGCCCTCCACTTCAGCCTCCTGTGTAGCTGGAACTATAGGCACACACAACCATGCTCGGCTAATCTTTATATTTTTAGTAGAGATGTGGTCTTACCACGTTGCCCAGGCTGGTCTCTAACCCTTTGGCTCAAGCCATCCACCTGTCTCCGCCTCCCAAAGTGCTGGAATTATAGGTATGAGCCACTGTGCCTGGCCCGTATTTTTTCATAATATAAGTTTTGTACTTCTTCTGTTAAATTTATTTTTTAGCATTTGTTTTTGATCCTATTGTAAATTGCTTTCTTTAATTATTTTTGAATTTTGGATTTTTTATAGCTAGAATATAGAAATTTAATTGCTTTTTGCATATTCATCTTATATCCTGTAACCTTGCATAACTCATTTTTTAGTTATAACATGTATTTCTTTTCAAATTTTGAAATAACATGTATGTGATAAAAAGGTCAAATAGTACCCAAGGGAATATAAGGAAAAGTGAATCTTCTGCCCTCTCACCCCTGCTCCCACTAAACTAAACTATTGTTTAGTTTTTCTTAAGCTGTTTCAAGCTGAAGAAAGAAGTGAGATATTAAAAAACAGTACTTCACTGTTAGCTAAATATCTTTTTTGTAGACAGGGTCTTACTCCATAACCCAGGCTGGAGCGCAGTGGTGCAATCATAGCTCACTGCAGCCTCAGCCTCCTGGGCTCAAGCAGTCCTCCCACTTCAGCCTCCTGAGTAGCTGGGACCACAGGTGTGCACCACCATGCCTGGCTAATTTTTTTAATTTTAATTTTTGTAGAGGTAAGGTCTCCCTGTGTTGCCCAGGCCAATCTTGAACTCATGGGCTCAAGCAATCCTCCCACCTCAGCCTCCCAAAGTGCTGGGATTACAGGCGTGAGCCACCGCACTGGGCCGCCTTTTACTATTGCCCTTGTGCTTATTTTTTTCTTTTTGAAGGATTATATATAAGTCAACTAGACTCCCTAGTTTATTCTATTTTTACTTATACTGTTAAGAAAATGAGACTTGGAATGTGAAACAGATGTGATTCCTGATCTGATTCTGTCTTCAGGGGACAGAAAAACCTTTGGTGTGGCAGAAAGATGTGGGTGTTTGGGTGTTTATACCTGGAAGAGATTTCTTACCCCTAACATGGTCTTTGTTGAGACAAATGAAAAATAGTGCATGGCTACAGACTAGGTTTGTGCCCATGAGGACTGGAAGAAAGTTACTGATGATTAATGTTTGACTTTACCCTTGCTCTTTTAACCCCAGTTGGGTCTTATCCTGGATTCTTTCTATTTTTAACTGCTTCTGTTAGCATGCTTTAAATGTGAGAGTTTTAATCGTTTGCTGCGCTTGTGGGCAAACAGTAAATGGTCAGATAAACACCAGAGAATATCAGAAAATTAACAGGTTTCAAATTGCTATTTGTAAACCTAAAGGCTAAAAGTAATATGATTAAATAGGCAAGTATATGTGGTCATTAAAATTTAAGTAGGCAAACAATCAGATAATTGTATGTTGTATATTATCCTGATCTCTTTCAGCACAGTGTTATCTCTGGGAATAAATTATTAGATATATAAATTACTTTTATCTCTGAAACATCATGTTGAGTTTACCAATATTACAGCCAACCCCCCAAAGCTTTCTGTTTGCCATAGTTTAATTTACTAAAGAATATATAAATACCAGTGAGGGACAGGACAAATTCAAAGAGGCATTTGAACCCAAAATTATTTCTTAAAACCGCTTGAGTTAAATATATTCAAGGAAAAATTCACGTATGAGTTCTTTTTCTTTTCTTTTAATTGAGAGGACCAACCATGTGGCTGGAGGAGAGCAGTAGGGCTTCAAAATACAAGACTTAGTTTTGAAGGGGTGGGAGTGCCAGGCAGAGGACTAGGAGAGGCTGGTCATGAACCAGAGTGCTGTGTCCTGGACAACCTCCTTGTTAGATGGGCAGAGGTGTAGGCACTCTAGAGACCCTCCTGGAGAACCCTGCTGAGAGGTTCCTCGGCTATGGTAGAGCCACCGATAATTCTTCCTTAGGGCAGGTGTTCAAGGCAGGCCGACTTTATTGGCTCCATGCCACAGCAAGTTCTCTAAGCTCAGTGGGCCTCAGTTTCTTTATATGTGAAATGGGGATGGTGGTGTTTGCCTCAAAGTATAGTTTTAAAGACTAAATAAGTTATCATTATTACTATTATTTTTTTTTAGAGACAGGGTCGTGCTCTGTTACCCAGGCTGGAGTGCAGCAGCGCAATCTTGGCTCACTGTAGCCTCGAGTTCCTGGCCTCAAGTGATCTTTCCTCCTTGGTCTCCCAAAGTACTAGGATTACAGGCATGTGCCACTGCACCTAGCCTGAGTATGTTTTTAAGATGAGCTTACTTGCTCAGTAACAATAAAATAATATATTTTGATTTCTTTTTTTTTTTTTTCCCCGCAGAAAGTCTGTTGTCAGTGATCATGAAAAAGCTTTGGGATGCAGTGTGCAAGCTTTCATTTGTTTTGTTTTCATGCCTTCAAACAAAATTTTAAAACTATCTGGGCCGGGCATGGTGGCTCACACCTGTAATCCCAGCACTTTGGGAGGCTGAGGCAGGTGGATCACCCGAGGTCAGGAGTTCGAGACCAACCTAGCCAACATGGTGAAACCCCGTCTCTACTAAAAATACAAATATTAGCTGGGCATGTTGGTGGGCACCTGTAATCCCAGCTACTCGGGAGGCTAAGGCAGGAGAATCGCTTGAACCTAGGAGTTGGAGCTTGCAGTGAGCCGAAATCACGCCACTGCACTCCAGCCTGGGCGACAAGGGCAAGATGCCGTCTTAAACAAACAAATAAACAAAAAAACTGTTTGAACTTAAACCCCAATAATAGTAGATATTTTATTTTCCAATCAGTTGTGTCTACAGAATTGTCTACAAAATGTCTTTTGATATGACAATGGCTGAGAATTCTTTGACAGGTTTTACAACTCAGATTCTTTCTCAAAGAATCTTGTTTACCTTCCATAGCCCCTTTGTTTATTGAAAGCAGAATATTCTTAGTTCCCTTGAACCCCAGTGTTCCTGCCATTCTGGATGTCTCTGTGCTGTGGCGTGGGGCCCTTTTTGGGGTGGGATTCCCCAGCACATAGCCTGCTAATACATAAGGAGGTGGTACTCCCATTGAGTCTATTTGGCATCAATCAGCAGGCAGGTTTGCACTGAGTAGTACTAAACCCAGCTTGCCCAAGTTATTGTGGTGGTTATTCTTTTAAAAGCATCATCTTTTTTTGGTTTCCTGGCCTAAAATTTCAGAAGCAGGAAGTGGGGGTTGTGGATGGTGAGTATAAGAGGGGCTAAACCTGATTGTCCTGGCTTGAAGTAATAGCGGGAATAATAGGCTTGTCAACTTTGATCCCAGCTGTTACCTTCTACTTACCAGCCTCTCTGCTGAACCAGTTGGAATTTGGTGGGGACTCCTCTGAACGGCTTTTCTGAGTCCTCACTCTCAGGATACTAGTAGATGTGTCCAACAAGTATCTCCCATTCCCAGCAGGGATCCTTTTGATTCTTGGCCTTCCCAAGAGCCTCAGGCCTGGGACTGGCCACTTGGGTCCAAGCAGTGTCTCTAGTTTGGCATCATTGGACTACTCCAAGGAGCAGGACTCTCAGCTGTTATGAGTGATGCTAGGAGCCAGGCACAGTGGCTCACGCCTATAATTCTAGCACTTTGGAAGGCCGAGGCAGGTGGATTGCTTGAGCCCAGGAGTTTGAGACTAGCCTGGGCAACACAGGGAAACCCCGTCTCTACTAAAAATACAGAAATTAGCTGGGTACAGTGGCATGCACCTGTGGTCCCAGCTACTCAGGAGGCTGAGGCAGGAGGATTTCTTGAGTCTGGGAGGTCAAGGCTGCAGTGAGCTGAGATTGGGCCACTGCACTCCAGCCTGGGTGACAGAACGAGACCCTGTCTCCA